TTAAGGATCGGCCAGTAACGCCTGAGTGTATCCATCATATAGTCCCACCCCGCATCATATGTGGCAATGCATCTAATCAGTTTTTTATCTTCTGATTGTGCATTCTCATCAGTGAGGAGTGTGTCTCGGTCGGTTTTGATGGCTCTAGCGTATCCCCTCCGTAGAACCCTATTCGGATATCCCTTATCCTTGAAGGCTTTCCTTAATTCCCAGGCTTTGGTCTTAAAGTCCTGTGTGGACGAGCAATTGCGTCTTAGTCGGAGGTACTGGCCGATTGGAATACCAGCCTTGAGTGGCTGTGGGTGATAACTAGTCCAGTTCAAGAGACTATTCGTAATCCTGAACAAAAATGATTTTGACTTGAGATTTACTAGTGAGCTAGGTGGTAACCAAATTAACTTCCTAGACATTACCATCACAATAAAGGAAGGGGGACTGGTACAGACAACCTTGTTCAAGAAACATACGGCTACGAATAGTCTCTTGAACTGGACTAGTTATCACCCACAGCCACTCAAGGCTGGTATTCCAATCGGCCAGTACCTCCGACTAAGACGCAATTGCTCGTCCACACAGGACTTTAAGACCAAAGCCTGGGAATTAAGGAAAGCCTTCAAGGATAAGGGATATCCGAATAGGGTTCTACGGAGGGCATACGCTAGAGCCATCAAAACCGACCGAGACACACTCCTCACTGATGAGAATGCACAATCAGAAGATAAAAAACTGATTAGATGCATTGCCACATATGATGCGGGGTGGGACTATATGATGGATACACTCAGGCGTTACTGGCCGATCCTTAAGTCCGACCCACATTTGAAACATGTAATTACTTCTCTCCCCTCAGTTACGGCAAGGAGGGGGAGTAATTTTCGAGATACCCTGGTACAGAGTCACTTGGCACCCCGTAAAAGGGGCCTTAACAATTATCTACCGAAGGGTTCATACAAATGTGGACATTGCAGTGCATGTGAATTTATGGAAAGGAACTCCAAAGAATTCACTGACAGTAATAATACAGATGTCTTCCCTGTATGATCATTTTTTAATTGCAGAACAGAGGGTGTGATTTATTTACTCATCTGCTCATGCGGTATAAAATATGTGGGGAAAACATTTAGACCTTTTAAACTACGGATCCGGGAACACGTTAATTCAGTTAGGAGACCTCTTGAAACTCCCATATACCGTCATTTAAAAATATACCATTCAAACTCCTCTAAAAAATTGAGGTTCATGGGAATCGAGCATATTCCACAGACTCAAAGGAAAGGAGATTGGGATATGAAACTGAGACAACGTGAGTCCTATTGGATCTATAGATTGAAGACCCTCTCACCCGCTGGACTGAATGAGGGCTTTTCATTTACTGCTTTTTTATGATTACTCTCTCTTTTAGATGTAATCTATAGTTAGGTATATCCCTATCAAGTCCTGAGTATATAATAAGTAGGCTGAACATCTGATTATATATTATAACCATTGTCTTCTTACATGAGGACTTTATTCAGTGGGATGCAATATAGGGAATCATAAATCTGATAGTCTCTTGTATCCACCTTGTCAGATAGTTATAAGGTTGTTACCTATTACTCTGTAGGGTGGTAGAGATCAATAAAGCTGTGTTTCTTTATATTTACAGTAAGCTCTATTGCATTCCCACCACCAAGTCTTCCCTCTATATTTTCTTTATTTGTGTTTGGGTGCAACCAAATACCTGTCATTTGATCATGGCCTGTGTAAAATTCCTTTAATAATGGGTGTATTGTTTAAAATCTTTTTAACAACATCCTAATTATGGTATTGCCATGATGCTGTGAGATTGGTTATCAGTTTCGACACATTAAGTTTGGGAGGCTGTGTCACTTTGTGACTCCCTGTCTATGCGGCATTATTCTCCCGTTATGGGATTGTGAATGCTTAAATCAGACCGCACGGTACATGGGAGGTCTCACTAAGACTGACAGCCGTGTCACCAGTTGACACCACTAAGCCACTCCCCCCATATGCAGCCGGTTGCACCCACGTGGGTATCACCCAATCAACCGCAACACCCCCCAGTCACATGGCCCAATCCAAATACGGCATTTTCTTGACCAATCAATGGGCCGACAAGACGGCGGGGCGTGGACACACAACAGGTGAACTGTTTCAAGTTGATTGCTACAATCCCCATATAAACGAGCACAAAGTTATGCAGAGGCTTACTACTCCTGACGACGGCGTGTTAGAACGCTGAAACGCGCGTCGAGTTTTTATTTATTTATTTATTTTCTTTACAGTTTGTTCACTTGGGTAGCACTTATGGATTAGTTTAATTAATTCGATTTTTAGCTACTTTAGTCAGGTAGGCAGAAGGGTAATAGGTAGGCACTTGTGATTCTCACTGTGCCGAGGTATTCAGTTAGGAAGTGTTCCTCCCCATTCCCCTTTCCCCTTTTTCCTTCCTCTGTTATTCCTCTAATTACCTATCTGTTTACAACCTTACAGTTTGGAGCTTTTTTGACCCAACTTTATTAGAATTGGGCTATTTCTCTGCAAGTAGTTGTTTGGACCTGTATGTGTTTTCACACATCTATTCCCTTGCCCTATCTTTCCTCCCTGTCTATTTTAATTGCCTACACCCTTAGGATTATTAAAGGTAGGGACTTCCTTTTTATTTATAACTCTTCCACTTAGGGACCTTTGGTTCCACACTATTTTTTCTATTTTACAATTTGTGGGTTATTCCCCAGTAGGGAAGAGTTATCAGGGCTTTTTCCACAATTATCTATAAAAACCAACCAGCTGTCATCGTCTGATTAAAAATTAGACCTGCTCCGTCTAGTCGTAAAGATGAACGACGAGTTAATGATCGCTCCCAGCCCACAAGATAATCCCTGCAAGGCGGTGTTAGTAGTGTTACAAATTAAACAGTTCAAAATCAGTTTGGCTGTTTACATTGGGGGGGAGCGGATACCAGATTTCTCCTAGTGCCATAACCACTACAGAAAGTTGTAGTGATTATGGTACTCGGAATGTCCTTTTAAAGGGATACTATAGTGCCAGGAATTCAAAGCTGTACCCCTGGCACTATCGCTCCCCCTGCATCCTCCATCGCGCCCCACCTCCCCAGTAAATAAAGGGCTAAAAATCCTTTATTTACTTACCTTATTCCAACGTCAATGTCCCTCGTCTCTGGGTCGACGCCCCTGCTGTCCCAACGAGTGGGCTCTAATGCGCATGCTTGGCAAATGTCGCGCGAGCTTTAGACCTCCCCATAGGAAAGCACTGAATCAGTGCTTTCCCATGGGGAAAAATCTGACCCTTGATGTCCTCATGCAGAGTGTGAAGATGTCCAGTGTGACCAAGTGAGAGGTTTTAATGTTGTGGCTGCTCAGTGTATAGTTGTAATAATAAATACTTATATTTACCATCAGACATCTTCTTTCTTCTAAATCTTATTTTCTTCAGTACCCAAAAAGACCAAATTGAAATCCATAATCTGTTTTTTATAATACTCAAAGCAATTATTAAAATCTAAAAAACTCAACTAATTCACAAAAAACAGACAAAAAACAAATGGCCCAGGAGGGCTCCAAGCAGAATGAGCTTCAAGGTGGAAAAAAATCTTTTATAAAGGCTTTCTCAGGCTTTAAATTTTCATTACAGTGTTCTGATGTAAACCAACCAACCAATCAGTCTTGATATAAGTGATACTTGCTTGTCAGAGTGCTCTGATTGGTTGTCTTTCTCTAATGAGAATTCAAATGGAATGGAGCCTTCCTGTTTAGCAGATATCATCCCTTTGCTAACAAATCACTTTCCTTTTGCTATTATTAAGGTCATATTGCCCCCCATAGGCTTGTTTATTTATTTATATATTCTTACTTTATTGAGATGGCTTGCTAGCAAGTGCTGTCCAGATGTCATATGGGCAACCCTTGCAGCACTGAGAGTTTTTAACTATTTCCCTGTGGCGGCAGGTCTCTGGACGATTGCTACAGTTACAGCTAACTCTGCCTGGATTTGGCTTTACTAAATATGAGAATTGCCATCTGGTCATAATTCAGTCATTTTCATCGGATTTTGTCCATCTGGTAAGTAAACTCTAAGGTGGACATTGTCTATACATGAGTTTGAAAAAATTAGGAATACCACATATTAATGTACTTTCTGGAATACCAATTGTATTTAAACTGCAGTGAGTACATTTGGAATTTGATCTCTTTTAGGGCAATTGACAGGAGATAAATATATATGCTTAACAAAACACTTAACATTAACCTCGTCTTGAGGTTGAAATATCTATCACTGCTAAAATTGTTTACCATAAGGGTCAGTTGTAACTGTTATAGCCCTCATAGGCTAAAAAAGGACGTGGTCAATGCACATCTGATTTTATCATATGAAAAGTTAATAGAAATATAACTGTCATATGACTCACCACTTTCCTTGTGACATTTCATCTTGTGATTTCATTAGCCACAGAAATATTCCAAATTGCAAAACATCTTTTGTTTTGATGCAGTGTTCTGTATCTTTCTCTCAGTTCGTGACTTTATAAGAGGTATCATGGTTGGTTAGTGAAAGGAACTTTACAATTCTGACTTTATTGCAGCACAACATTATCATGACAATATAACATTACTAAATCTTATTTGTGGGGTTTTCCTTAGTCTTCAATACATTTGAAAGGTAGAGTCAAGGTATGGCTGCAGAACAACTCCTTATTCAGAAAGGCCACAGGAGAAACTTCCCATAATTAAAGTCAACAAGTTATCTACAGATGTATGGATGCCAAGGTCCACTTCATGTTTGTATTATAGTTTACTAAAGGACTCAATATTTCAACTTGCCCTCTCGCAGTTGGCCCGCAGAAATTCAGCTTTGCTATTTCAAAATGCCCCCTCCAACTGCCTGTGAGGACCCATGAGGGGGTTCATTGTCATTGTAATAGCAGCTTTAATCTATGTTAGATAAACAGAAAATTATAGGAAGGTCAGAAGAGGGATGTGGGCTCAGACACTCCTCTCATTCTTTTAGTTCTACTCCCAGACACGCCTACTAGAAGTATTGCATAGGTAAATCAGCAGCTCATGGTGGAAATCACCGGCATTGTAAAGAGGTTAGAAATATGGCAAATCCCCACTGGTATATGTGCTGCGGGAAAATTTTAAAGAAACTTAACATTCCATTTTGAAAAACCCTTGTGCCCCTCCAAATGCCGGCAACTTGCTGGCCATGTGGTTAGATTATATATATATAGATTATATATAATGCAGGAAAGAGGGGCTCAGCTGGAACAGTGCTCCCCGGCACAGGCACCATCCCCAAATGAAGCCCCGCCTCCCACTAATAAGCCCCACCCCTGCCGTTAAGCAGCAGACCTTGCTGCTGCTGGAAAGGCCAGAAGATGGCTGTCTGACCCCCAGCAACAGGCTCCAGTGACAGGTAGGCTTGAAATGTTTGTGTGTGCGTCTGTGTGTGTCTGCCTGCTAGTGAGGAAGCTTGTGTGTGTGTGTATGGACTCAGCAGTCTGTGTGTGTGTGTGTGTGTGTGTGTGTGTGTGTGTATGGACTCAGCAGTTTGTGTCTGTGTGTGTATGGACTCAGCAGTCTGTGTGTATGGACTCAGCAGTCTGTGTGTGTGTGTATGGACTCAGCAGTCTGTGTGTGTGTATGGACTCAGCAGTCTGTATGTCTGTGTGTGTATGGACTCAGCAGTCTGTATGTGTGTGTGTGTGTGTGTGTGTATTGACTCAGCAGTCTGTGTGTGTGTATGGACTCATCAGTCTGTCTATGCGTGTATGGACTCAGCAGTCTGTGTGTGTGGGGGTGTGTATGGACTCAGCAGTCTGTGTGTGTGTATGGACTCAGTAGTCTGTGTGTGTGGACTCAGCAGTCTGTGTGTGTGTATGGACTCAGCAGTCTGTGTGTGTGTGTGTATGGACTCAGCAGTTTGTGTCTGTGTGTGTATGGACTCAGCAGTCTGTGTGTATGGACTGTGTGTGTGTGTGTGTATGGACTCAGCAGTCTGTCTGTGTGTGTGTATGGACTCAGCAGTCTGTGTGTGTGTATGTACTCAGCAGTCTGTGTGTGTGTGTGTGTATGTACTCAGCAGTCTCTGTGTGTGTCTGTGTTTGTATGGACTCAGCAGTCTGTGTGTCTGTCTGTGTGTATATGGACTCAGCAGTCTGTGTGTCTGTGTGTGTGTGTGTGTGTGTGTGTATGGTCAGCAGTCTGTGTTTGTATGGAATCAGCAGTCTCTGTGTGTGTAAGAACTCAGCAGTCTGTGTGTGTATGGACTGTATCAAGGGAAATGTGTTTGTTTTAATAATCCTTGGTGGAAAATAATGAATTCTACACCAGGGATTATTAAAAAAAAACAAAAAAAACACACATATTGTGTCGGGGGCGGGGCTTAACATGCGGCAGGGCGGGGTCAAACTGCAGTGAGGACGGGGTTAAATGTGCCCCCCTACTTTTGTCCCTGGTCCACCATGTGCCCCCCTCTAAAAATGAATCCTAGAGACGCCACTGGGTGTAGCTGATACCCCTCTAGACACAGTGAGCACGGGGTCCACGTCTGGATTACACTTTTGAACTTGGGGAAAATCAAGTTATTGGACTACGACAAAACGTAGTGAGCAAAAACTATTTTGAGACCTGAGAGGGGTTTTACCAAAAGCGTAAACTACTGAGTTCCCCTAGGTTCCTCTAAGTTTTTGTCTGTTCTCAGAGTTCTCATATTCTTTGTTTTTTTATTGCAATGGTGTAGGGTTTAGTTCATTGACTGACAGGGATCCACTGATACTCTCAGCCTATGAGCTGGCCCCGTACTACAGGTCTTAGGTCAGGAGAGCTAACACACTCTCTTAAGCAAGAGCTTCCGGCTTTGCAGTCAGCTGAGAGGGGGTGGGGAGCAGCACCCAGCAGACCAAAGGTAAGCAGTCAAATGGACTGACTACTTACATCTGTACTGTAGTGGCTATGATAGCTGGGTTGTTCTTTAAAAGTAAACTTTAAGGGTAATATCCTTATTCTTATGTACATTATTTACCCCCTCAATATTCAAACATTATTACTATGGAAATGACATTTAAACACATATTGCTGTAGTGCTATGAAACCTTGGATTTCAAGGAGCTAACCTATTATTATTATGATGAACAGAGATAAAACCATACATGTTGTACTTATAAATGGGCCCTCGAGGTACTAAAGTAACTATAATGCATTTGATAGATTTGCGCATGGAGGGATTTATCAGTATAGTTAGAAATATGAGTAATGCTTAAATCACTGTCTTAGAACCAGAAAAACTAGATTTGAATCCCAGTCAGACCATCTTACCAGTAAGTGTCCTTGGACAAGACATCTAATGAAGTTTATCTGCCTATCTCAAAACCCTCATAGATTGTAAGTTAATTTGAACAGAACCTTCTTCACCTGTACCGTTTAAGAATAACAACCCTAATATTGATAGTATATACTTATTTACATAGCTGAGAAGAGACATGCATCCACCAAGTTCAACCTTTCTCACAATTTTTTTTTGCTGTTGATCCAAAAGAAGGCCAAAGAAAAGGCTTCCAATTTTGCTATAAACTATGAAAAAAATACTTCTTGACCCCTTGTATTACACAGGAATGAGGAGTGAAAGGCAGAACTGTCTATGTATGCCTTATACTGACACGAGGTCCAATATTTTCTTAATAAACATGATACCGAAGATTTTATTACCAGGTCGGAGATATTCAACTAAAAGGCATTGCTACAGATTGACTTTATATACATAAACCAGCTTATTTGGCTGCAGTTGTAAATATAGCCATATAAAATCAAAATGGTTTGAAACATGTCCCTGCATGATTGTAATCCACAGAGTACAGTTAAAAAGAACATTTCTGTCCGTTGATATTACAAGTTATCATTTCCATTCGTGTTTCCTGCCAAGAGACAGGCATAACTGTGTCTTTTAGTAATATGACTTAATTGTCACTGACCCCTTGAATGGAAAATCTGAGTCTGCAACAGCTGAGAACGATCTTGCTTCATTCCAGCCGGATCAGAGGATGTAGAGAAAATTCTCAACAACAATACAAGCCTGGAAATTGAAACAAAAAGAACACATTTACTCTTGGCTTTGCAGAGATTTATCAACATTTTACTTAATTCCATCATATTTTCCAGCTAATTATTTTCTTTCTTTTGCTTTGCGTTAAACGTGGAAGCCATGTAATTTGTGGTTACGTACAGGCCAGATGAGCTATGTGTTAGGTAAGCAACTGACGCTGATACTCTTAACAAACAAAGAAAATAATTAAAAAATATATATATATATTCAATTATACTTTCACATTCTCATCACAGTGTACTATGAGCATAACTGCTCCAAAATGGCTGCATTAAAAACCAAGGGAATGGCACCCAATACACCAAGCAGTCCCATTAAGCTGTTTTAGAACAGGGTTAGGCAACCTTTCTGCACTTCAGATGTTGTGGACTACATCCCCCTTAATGCTCTTACATCCCCCATAATGCTCTTATACTGGCAAGGCATCATGGGCAGTGGAGTCTAAACCACCTGCTGTTCTAGAAGAACATTTGTGATTATGAATACTATGGCGATTTGTTCCAGCTTACAGAAAATCAACAACAATAAAACAAATAAAAGCAGTATGTGTTCTCTGAAAACTTGCATTGTAATTATTTGGCAGTTATACATGCACATCAAAAATACAATAAAACCCAAAAATGGAATGTGAGTTGAACTATTAACTGATCCAAGTTGTTAGTTAGAACACAGTATTGCCTTAATGGGATGTTAGAAGTCACAAACATTCACGTGAGAACATAACTGTGAAAACAATCTGTGCTTTTCCCAAGGATAAAGAGAACAGCGACAGATACAGAGAAAGATACAGTCATTCTATGCCTTCACTTTAATGCCTGCCTCGTTAGTATTTCACGAAATTATGCAAAACGGTAATTTCTGTGAAAACTGAATTATTTTATGAAAAAAAGTAAATAGCAAAAATAGTAAAAAGAATACGTACAATAAGAAATACATTGCACTAAAGATAACCACAGGCTAGACACTGGATGAAAGTAATCCCAGGAACACAATATAGAACTGTCCAGTTGCAGTTGTTCTTTTAAGTTGTTACCCAGTGAAGTCAACATTGTAATAACAACGACTACAGTACAGATTCACGACTTTCATAGAAACCTTTTACAAACCTCTGATGACAATGGTTGCGCCGCTTGATAGACTTCCAACGTATGGTGCTATTATGCCTCCATGTAGGGTTTAACCTAACTCACGAGTAAGACTCCTGATCTCTGCTACCATCCCCGAAATTGGTCTGTCAAACACGTCTTCTCAGCACAGACCAGTGAGTGACGATGGGCCCAGAGAAAGATTATGATTCTACGCAACCATGGGAATATTACCAGTTTAGGCCTCTCTTCATTCTTCACATAGGGTTGATGGGGCCCTGCAAATTTATTGCTCTGAGACCCTTGTCTGGTTGCGAGGCCATCGGGTCACTTTAAGGTTAATCCTGCTCTGAGTGGACGTCTGACTACATTTTCCAGTATGTTCACCAATCTGTGAATCATCATGCATATCCAGTATCATTAGAAGGCTTTCCATTTAGCATTTTCATGTACATGAATCCTTGATGCTGCTGTGGTTCTGTCATGAGATCAGATCCTCTACTGATTCTCTGCCCTGGAATAGAGATCATCCATCTTGGATCCCTGCTGGTCGTGATTAGAAGGTCCTTTTCTGTCCTTTAAAAAAAAAAAAAGAAAACCAGAAAAACACCAACCTTTGTATATGGCAGTTAGCAAAGAGAGAAGACAGAGATGGTAAAACCAAAGCAATGTTTCTGTTGCTCATTCTGTAGTGCAATGTGTGCCCTGGTTGGCTTGGTGTGTGGTATGTGTCCCCCGTCCATGTATTGTTAGCTTAATTTCACAAAATTGTTTGGTTCTATTTATCTGCCACCTTTATAATGTTTTTAACAAATTTTTGAAAGGTTAACAGAGAGAGGAATTCATTAATTTATGCCAGTGTATTGTTCCTTTTTGATGAAGTGCGTTAATTATGAGATTTTGTTGACACCTGACTTTATGCAATAAAAATTGTAAACTTATACAAAACAACTACTACTTTACACACAGGATTACGTGTACCCCGTAGTTTCTAAGGGTAAAAGACAT